CCGACAGCAGATCTTAAAGGAATTTGAAGAACTTCATAGGCGGCTGGATGAAGAGCAGCAGATGTTGCTTTCACGACTGGAGGAAGAGGAACAGGACATTCTACAGCGCCTCCGAGAAAATGCTGCTCACCTTGGAGACAAGCGCCGGGACCTGGCCCACTTAGCTGCCGAGGTGGAGGGCAAGTGCTTACAGTCAGGCTTCGAGATGCTTAAGGTTCGACCTTTGCCCCTGCATAGCCCCTCAGGTCGAGCGCAGTATAGCTTTGCACAGGTTGTTCTGTCAGCCCAGGATACTCACTCTGCTCTGCTCCTCTAAATCCAGTTCTTTGTTCTAGACATACTCAAAGAATCTATCTACCGAAAGGCTTCTCTGATTTCTCCCATTCCCTTCTAATCATTTCTATGTTCTTATGTCTTGTCAACAATTATGTGCTTAATTTGTACCAAAGAAAAAATCCACTCTTTTGAAAGGAGTGAAGTCTAGTCTGAATACGTGAAAAAAAACTATGCATTAAAAATTGTGTAAATGCAGTTACCATTACTTTTAAGTCCTGGAACTTGATTTACCTAGTGCTAAGAAAAGAACAGAAACCTAGTTTGAAGGACAATTGAAATTATGTATAAATAATATATTGTTTTTGATATGTAAATGGTGCCTCTAAAATGTTTGAAATAATTTGTTCTCTTAAGCAGATGAATGGTGTTAGCAAGGTTGTAGGAAACATATTTCTTACTTTAGAGATCAGATTGCCAGCATTTGAATCAGTGAGGCTTCGCTGTACATTTATCTGCATGTTAATGTATTCCTTGGTATTTATTCTTATGTCCTTTCATGTATGTGTGTTCTGCCTTCCACATTAAACTGGGAAATCCTTGGGGGGCAGAGATTTGTCTTCTTTGTCTTCTGGACCCCAAGTATTTGCAAATCAGGATTGGCACACAGTTATTAATGTTTACTAACCAATACCAGACGGGGGATACCAAACCGTAACAGGAAAGTGTGATTCATTCCAATGCCACCAGTCTGGAACTATCTGTACTGATCCTCAAGGAGATAGGTGTGTGGTTGGTACTTGGGGGACAGAGTAAAGAGCAGACACAATCCCTGTACCTTGCTTTGCGCTCCCAGTGTGCTTGAGGAACAAAGACAAACACACAAGAAACCATTTGGAAGTGATATAAATTACCAAACTTCATGATGACCAGAAGTTGAAAGTGGGGATGAAGTTGGGAGAAATGTACTCAGATCCCTCTGGAGCTCTTCCTCTTCCTCTTCCATTGTGACCCTCAGTTTGCCCTATTTCTATTTTAGAGATTTAGGACTTTTGGGAGGAGGGGGAACCTTTTGCCTGCAGGACCCTTGACTACCAGGACCAATATTGCTTTCTTTTCTCCTTCCCTCTAGGATGTCAAAAGTACCCTGGAAAAGTAAGTGATTCTTGCATCTCTTTGAGTGAGTTAGGTCTTGGCTTAGAGGCTTAAGGATACAGTAGGAGTTTGGGGAGTAAGGATGCAAAAGTCATACAGCATCTGGATAGGATATGGGAGAAGGTTCATTGCATCCATGAAGCCAGTTAGAAAGTAAATCATCGGGACTAACCGTCCCTTTCCTTTTTCCCTTTGAGCATCAGGACTTCCTTGTTGAGGAAGATACCAAGATAATGTAGGACCAGATTCTACTTGTCCCTGTATGTGGACCTGTGTCCAAGTGAGATGGAGGAAGAAGGGGTTGGAAGAGGGGGAAGGATGATTACCCATTTGCATGAAATATAACAACATTTCCAAAAAGTTCTGGGACTCATTCTTATAAGGATCTGTCAAGGGGACCATATGGCGCTCCATAATTGGCAAAAAAAAAAAAAAGGCAGTTCACAAGTATTCTCAGGGTGGAGGGAGAAAGTGGGAGGATGGAGAATTATAGTTTCTCCCTAAAGATGACAGCATCAGAATACACACTCAGCTTGAGCTTCCCCTGACCCTGCCCTTTCTTCCCATATCTCCCTATCCCTCCTAGATGTGAAAAAGTGAAGACCATGGAGGTGACTTCAGTATCCATAGAGCTGGAAAAGAACTTCAGCAATTTCCCCCGACAGTACTTTGCCCTAAGGAAAATCCTTAAACAGCTAATTGGTGAGTTATTCCCAAAAGGAAAGTAGCAGAGAGAAGAAAGCCTTTAGGTCCTACTTTATTGGGCTTCAGTTATCCCTTCTGTCACTTACAGGCCCATACCCACACCTACCCCTTTACCTGGCTTTCAATCATTTTGAGTCATAGAACTCAAAGTGAGAAGCCCCTTGAAGGTGTCATCTACTCTTAGGCCCTAACTTTTCTGAATAAGGACCCAAAAAAGTTAAGTATTTTGCCTAAACTTATCCCCTTTTGAGAATGAAAGGGAATGTCATTATTATTTACTCAGAGAAAATAATCATAAACCAAGACTGTTCCAGGAAAACAGACACCTGGTCAGGCAATCCAGAGATCCCGATGATGTCTTCTTGGTATCCTTCTTAACATTTTCCATTCTTTCTGGCCCTTGGGCTGTGCCTGATGCTTCTCTACACAGTGAGCTACATAATGATGTCAGAGGGTATGGAGGAAGGACCAGGCAGGAGCCTAAACCACCAACCCTTGCAAAGTCAAGAGAGCATTATCTGCCTTTAGGGCTGGGTGAAAAGTGAAGCCAGTGTTCCCTCCCCTCCCTTAGGTGACACCATGGATTGAGAAAATTAACCAAACTATGGTGTTCTGGGGACCTTTAAGGGAACAGGCTCTGTAAGACAGGCTGGAAGAGTGAGGCAGGGGCATTTAGCTATTCCCGTCCTCATCTAGCTCCCCACTGTGGCTTCTCCCGCCAGCGGATGTGACCCTGGACCCCGAGACCGCTCATCCTAACCTAGTCCTGTCGGAAGATCGTAAGAGTGTCAAGTTCGTGGAGACGAGACTCCGGGATCTCCCTGACACACCACGGCGGTTCACCTTCTACCCTTGCGTCCTGGCTACTGAGGGTTTCACCTCAGGTCGACACTACTGGGAGGTGGAGGTGGGCGACAAGACCCACTGGGCAGTGGGTGTGTGCCGGGACTCTGTGAGCCGAAAGGGCGAGCTGACTCCATTACCTGAGACTGGCTACTGGCGGGTACGGCTGTGGAATGGGGACAAATATGCAGCCACCACCACGCCTTTTACCCCTTTGCACATCAAGGTGAAACCCAAGCGGGTGGGCATATTCCTAGACTATGAGGCTGGCACGCTGTCTTTTTACAACGTCACAGACCGCTCTCATATCTACACCTTCACTGATACGTTTACTGAGAAACTTTGGCCCCTCTTCTACCCAGGCATCCGGGCTGGTCGGAAGAATGCTGCACCACTTACCATAAGGCCCCCAACAGATTGGGAATGACAGGTAGGGATGTGGAAATAATTGGGGTGAGGCAGGGTCAACAGCTATGGGCCTTCCTTCCTGTGACCTGCTGGAACGTCTTCATGTCTGCCTGGTTCCAGTCCTGAACCACCTGGGAGAAACACCTTCGTTTCTAGAATGGTTTATGTGGCTGAGTAGGTGGGACTGGGCTGGGATGAGAACACAGCTGTGTCTCCCTCCTAACTGTCAGAGCGGGAAGCTGGTTCCCAGGGGATTATCTCCCCTGAAGTCCATCAGGTTTTCTACTGTACAAGCTTGGATTGGGAAGGAAGGAGAGGCTTTTCCAGAAACAAAAAGTCTGGGAGGGTCTGATGTGCTCAAACCAGAGGAGGAAACAGAAACCCCTGTACATCCTTTTAGGGGATTCTTTGACCCAGAATAGTCTTGTTTCTTGAGGAAGAGCACAGGGGTATGTGTACCTCTAGACTGAAATAAAAGTGAATGACAGTTGCTCTCATGGGTCTAGAAGTTGAGAAGTTTTTCTGAGGGCAGAGATTGGGCATCAGGAAGATTAGAAGGTCAGGGAAGGGGGCTAAAGGAATAGACTCCTAGATACTAATGGAGAAAGGTTTCTTTGGTCTTCTATTTCAAGAATAAGGTTGCCAGAGTGGGATTGGGCAGAGGTAGGAATGTGGGGAGGAAAAGTGTGAGAAGGAAAAAGAGGAGAACCCAGGTCCCTGTCTCGGCCTTCAGCAGAGCTGGCTTATTGCCTGCCTCCTTATAGTTGATTTTCTCCAAGAAGTCAGTTACCTTGCTCTTTGGAGGCAAGGTGCCAGGGACACTTCAAGACACTCTACCCTTTCACTATTTTCCCAAAGGAACTTGGAAAGGAGAGAGTCAGGTATTAGCGGAGAGAGAAAAGTATTTCTATCCAAAGCTCTGGCCTTACTAAGTAGTTATTCCCAAGATGTCATCCTTATTCTCTGGCTAAGGTTTCCAAGCCAGAAAGGGAGAAAGGAAATGAAGTCGTCTTCACTCTGAGGACAGGGTAGAAGAGGGTGGTATGTAAAGGGAAGAGCCAGATAGGCAACTTCCTTTTGCCTGTGTACATCTGGCCTGAAACTGTTCACAAGCGCCAGTCTTTGGCTTGTTTGCTTCCATCCTTCACCGTTTGCCGTTTCCCCTATCAGAGAATGTAAATCATTTAATGTTAGGCCAAAATACACAATTTGTAGGGTACATATGTTGTCAAAAAAGGTAAAGCAATGCATGCCAAACCACACTAAAATGACTTGGACTATCTGCTGCTTGGATAATCGGGTTTACAAAAGATTGGGACAAGAAACTGCAGTTTATTGAGGGCATTTCAGTACCTCCTACCACCTCAACAGGACTTTGTCCAGACTCTCCTCTTACCTTTGTGCCTTGACTGTGGTTCTTTGTGGCAAGATGCTTTGGTTGGTAAAACAGTATGGAACAAAGGATCCACTGAAGTGATCTCTGCGTCGTGTGTTAATTTGACAGTGGCCTGCGTTGATGTATAAGCATGTTTCCAGGGCTTGCCCTTAGTGATTGATCAAGGTCTGTGGTGGGCCTGAGCATCTACAGTTTAAGCATACACCTTTAATTTGAGTTTGGGGACACTTGTGAAACTCATCCCAGAAGAGGTTTCAGCCACTTCCTCTGAGCTGGAAGCCTGGTTCCCTGTCTAGCCTGGCAGGGTTTGAGAGGGGAGAGAGGCCTCATCCTCTCCTCACTTAGGCTCCCCTCTCCCTGTCCCAGGGTTCATTCATGTTCTTCTTCCCCTCCAGCTCACATCCCTCTACTTCTGACCTTAGGAACTGGTGGTCATTAACTGTGAGGCAGAGGTAATCACAGGATGCCAAACAGAACAAATGAAAGAGGTCAGAAGGAGGAATTGTGATCTATATGTCTGTATTGGGGGTGGGGGTTGTTTCAGAGGTAGGAGATGCTGTTGACAGGTTTCTGTACTCCAGTACCTAAGACTAGGAATTAGTGAGAATCACCTACTCTATGTTTATCACTGCATAACAGGAAATGTGCTGCTTCAGTTAAACGGAAAAGAGCTGTGCTTTCTGAGGGCCAAACGCGCTCTACCTTCCCTCTACCAGCCTCAAGATCCTTTCCAATTTCACTCTCACTGGCACCAGTACTTTTTTTGAATGTATAACCTCTCCTCCTATCTGTAAATCTTCCAGGTATCTGCATTTGGCTTTAGGAGAGTAGGGCAGACAGCCTAGCTGGGAATAAATTGCACAGAACCATCTCCCCAACCTATCGGCATAAAGAGACCAGTTTTCTGTCCTGATAATGTTCAGCAGTTTAAGATCCTCTCCTGTTCCACCAGCCTCTCCAGCCTTGACCTAATATACATGATCATGGGCTTGAGGAAGACTAGAAGGAAGCCAAAACTCGTAAAGGAACCCTGGGCTTGAATTGCGGAAAGGGTTGGGGATTGGGTTTACAAACAGATGTGTCTGTGAAGCCACAGCGTGGCGCCAGAGTAAAGGCCACCGGAGAATGCCTTACGGGCCCAGAAACTACACTTCCCAGGAGGCCTTGCCCTGACGCCGGGGCGGGGCTATGTGAGGGGCAGAGTCTGACGGTAAACGTGTTTGGGGCTCTCCCATGACTAGATGGCGGGGCAGGTGAAAGACCGTGAGGCTTTCCAGAGGCTCAGCTTCCTGTACCAGGTAAGTCTGCGTAGAGGGCGCACCGAGAGGGTTCTGCTGTTGCCGGGCCCCGAGTGACCGCCCCCCTCCCTAGGCCGCCCACTGCGTCCTTGCGCAGGACCCCGAGAACCAGGCGCTATCGAGGTTCTACTGCCACACGGAGAGAACCATTGCGAAGCGGCTCGTCTTGCGGCGGTGAGACTGGCACAAAGCCTAGCGGAGGGCGGGAAGAACAAGAGAGTGAGAGCGGGCGCTCAGACCACCTTCTCCCTCCACCCCCAGGGACCCCTCGGTGAAGAGGACCCTCTGTCGTGGCTGCTCTTCCCTCCTCATTCCAGGCCTGACCTGCACACAGCGCCAGAGACGTGAGTGCTTCTGTGGAGGTGGGATGATTGAGGCGCATTGGTGGGGGGAGGGGAAGAGTAAGTGACCGCGTCCTCGCTTTAGATGAGTAGATTGGGCATGGGATTTGCAGGAGCTGGCTTTCTCCAGTTCTGAGTTATGGTGTTAACTGCATTTGGTCAGACTAAGGTCTGCGCAGTAGAGAAATGTTGCCTTAAGAGGCAATCTCGTCCATGCCTAATAATAGATGTTATTTGGCATCGTGGAAGATATGATTCCCATCACCATTCGTTCAGTCATACAACAAATATTATTCTAAGATGTGACGAGTATTGTGCTAGATTCATTATTCTCGTTGAAATTATAGTCTGATGGGACAAACGAAGAAACAATTAAAATAGTGTAGAAAAAAATGCTTTAATTGGGGGAGTAGAATGCTAAGTTACTTATGCCGGTGGTGGTGAGATTCATGATAAGAAGAGGAAGTGGGAGATGGAAATTTAGGGATATGTGTTGACTCAGATGAGAGCTGTGATGCTGTCAAGAAAATGAGAGTTTCGGTGCTGGAGTTTGAGGTGCACAAGACATGTAGCTAGTGGAGGAAATGGCAGATGTTGAAGAGTCTTGTTAAGGAGTTTGGCCTTTATCTTAAAGAGTACCAAGAAATTCATAGTTTATGCAGAAGCCTGACACTTATCAAACTTGCATTCAAAGTGACGAGGGGGTGGAATTCCTACTAGAAAACAGTGAATGCAAAAACGGTGCAGAAGACCTTTTTTCATTCTAAACTGAGGCACTCACTTCCTTTTTTCCCACTTTCACCTCAGGCTGCAGGGGACAGCGCTGGACAGTACAGACCTGCCTAACATGCCAGCGCAGCCAACGGTTTCTCAATGATCCTGAGCATGTGCTCTGGGGAGACCGTCCTGAGGCCCTGCTAAGGATCCAAGCAGGTGAGAGGTGGTGGACAAAAATGTGAGATATCCCAGGGGTATGGGGTGATGGGGGACATAGAGCTGAAGAGGACACATTGGTGAGTTCTGAATTGGTTTGAGAGGTACAGCAGTCTTAGAAAACTCTAACTCTGTTCATCCATCCAGATCCCAAACCACCACAGCCCCTGTCAGACAAAGCCCACCTCGTTCCAGCCCACCTTCCTGAGGAAAAAATGCAGCCGCTGAGCTCCAGTCACCAGTGACGGATTCACTCTATCTTCCAAATAAAGTTAATTGTGTTTCACTCTGGTGGTTCTGTTTTGTGAGTATTTCAGCTCTTAATTTCATTTTCCTCTCTCCCTCCCTCCGTCCTTCTCTCTCTCTCTCTCTTCCTCTCTCTCTCTCTTTATATAGATATAGATATAGATATAGATATAGATATAGATATAGATATAGATATAGTTTGTTTGTTTGTTTTTTGTACTGGCTAACCTCTCTCTCTCTCTCTATATAGATATAGATATAGATATAGATATAGATATAGATATAGATATAGATATAGATATAGATATAGATATAGATATAGTTTGTTTGTTTGTTTTTTGTACTGGCTAACCTCTCCTTTGTCTTTATTATCCTCCTACTCCCACCATTCAGGGTGATTCATTTTTCATAGACCACTTGACCTCACTAAGCAGCTCCCATATCCAGGACCCTGACTCCAGTGGCCCTTGGTTCCTGAATGCCACGTTTGGAACTCAGGCTCTAGTGTTGTCTGCAACGACCTGAGCCTTCTTTGGACATTCCATATTTAGGTAGCCCTGACTGTTGGCTAAAGGGCTAGGCAGACTGCTGATGCCACAGATGCTGTTTTTAAATGAGAAAAAAAGTTGGAGTGGAGGAGGAGGGCCTTCAGATCTTCTAGGCCTAGTCCAGAGCTGGTCTTTTCCAATCTCTGGTTTTTCTTCTATAAAATTCTAATAAGGGAAATTGAACAAACTTGAGCTAACAAAGGCAAAAGGGGTTATCAAAAGGATGCTGGCAGACATTGTACAAGTATGCTCCATAGGTAAACCCTCAAGGTTGTCTTGAAAATTAGTAAACAAGTTTTTTTCTTCGATATTCTTAGAGAACTTATTCAAGGACAGAATTTCAGTCTGACTTCTTTGCTAGGTGCCAGCTAATTGATTTACCCCAAAAGTATACAAACACGATTTACTATTCCCAGAATGCAGTTTTCTTTTTTCCTTTTCTGTTATTGCAAAATAAATCCTGCATTGCACTTACTTATTGCTGCATAAAAATCACTTGAAAAATCACTTCACGATTTATTATTTTCCCTGATTCTGTGGGCTAGGCTTTCTGAGGGCTTGGCTAGGTGTTTTGTTCCAAGTAGCAGCACCTGAAGATACTCTGCTGCAATTAGCTGGTGGTTGTTACCTGGTCTGGAAAACCCAAGAAATTTCATTGTGCGTGTATGGTACTTCATTGCTTTTCCATATGGCCATGCTATACAGCTGGCTTTTACGTCCTCACGGCATGGCTATCTCAGGGTGGTTGGACTTTGTTCCAAGAGGACAAGCCCCTAGGTACAAGTGCTTATCTTACCACTCTAATGTCCCCTTGACCAAAGCAACTCACATAGCCAAGCCCAGATTCAACATGAAAGGGCCTACACGAATACTGGGAGGTTTATTGGTTCCCTGGGGACCACCAATATAGCAATCTACCATGTCCTTGTTTTGCCTTTGTCACTGACCCAGTCTCTCCACTTACTCCATGTCCACAAATTTTCACATGGAAAATACAAAAACAGTGTGCAAGTAACAATGTTTCTGAGTTATCCTTTGACACTTTTTTTCTGGAAATTATATCTACTTGGGCCAACTGTAGCAACCAACAGAAACATGTAGCCTACACGTCCTATGTAGTACGTCCTATGCAGACCTGGACCCTTTTCATCTTCAGCTTACCTTCCTTGGCTGCACCTACACATCTCATTTCTAAGCTCATTGGCTCTTGGCACACTAAATCTGATTCTTGGACAAGTTTGTTTTGATTGTGATTATGATTGCACATGACTGAACATGCCCACAGTAGGATAGCAGTAGGGGAACTCTGAGTTTTGATTTCATGGCTGAGTCATTAAGTGATGTGTGTGGGAGACCATAGGAGACAGGTCCAAGTTGGGAGGGAGATGAAACAATATGGAATATGGTTCACTTATGAGTCTTTGTGGCTTGTTGATTTGTTTAATGTTTATATCAGTATACATTCCTCTAGAAATCATAGTCCTTGTCTTTCAAAACTCTCTTTTTTTTTGGACGTAGTTCCATAGTGTAGCAGTTAGCACATCTGCTTTACACGCAAAAGGTCCTGGGTTCACACCCCAGTGGAGCCACAGTCCATGATTTATGGCCATGCCACCCTGAACAAGCCTGATGTCTGACCTCGGAAGCTAATCAGGGTCAGGCCTGGTTAGTACTTGAATGGGAGACCACCTAAGAAGACCAGGTGCTGTAGGCATAAATAATAAGAAAAACTCTGTCTTTTTTCATGTTTACTTATGACATGGTACTTGGCAATACATGCAAAATGGGATTTTCTGTAACAGGAAATCAAATTCCTACTGTGCAATGCTCACCTTTAATGTTTCTAAACAATTTAGTAATTCAAAATTTGTGCCTTTTGGGGACTCTTTTTAAATAAAATTAAACAGAAGACAGAGAAGAAACTTAGGTCATTCCAACTGAATCAAGAAAAAATGGTCTTAGAATAACCATAGAAACCAAGACTTAATTATTCCCCAAACTTTTGGTACACTTAGCTCTTTTTAAAACTGGTAAAAATGAATATCATTATTGTCGGGGAATGGGCAAGAAAAAAATGGGTTTAGAAACCATCCTTCTGAATTCAGAAGGGAATTTAAAAATAACTGCTCTTCCTGAAGCAGCCTGAAGAGATCTCTGAAAATGGTTTGCTATTCACTTGTCCCAGAAAACCTCACAAAATCAAGAGGCTCAAATCTTCATGATCACTTTAAGAACACTTGTGAAACTGCCCAGGCCACCAAGGATATGCATATTCAAAAAGCCACCAAGTATCAGAAGGATGTCACTTCACAGAAGCAATGTGTGCCATTCCGTCGTTACAATGGTGGAGTTGGTAGGTATGCCCAGGCCAAAGAGGACTGAACGCATGGTTGGTGGCCCCAAAAGAGTGCTTTTTGCTGCGCATGCTTAAAAATGCAGCCTGATGCTGAGTTTAAGGGTTAGATGTGGACTCTGGTCACTGAGCACATCCAGGTGAACAAAGCTCCCAGGATGCAGCGCAGAACTTACAGAGCTCGTGGGCGGGTTATCCCCTGCCCGAGCTCTCCTTGCCACAGTGGGATGATCCTTACTGCAAAGGAGCAGACTGTTCCTAAACCAGAGAGGAGGTTGCACAGAAGAAAAAAGTATTCCAGAAGAAACTGAAGAAACAAAAACGTATGGCCTGGGAGTAAATTCGGCATCAAATAAATGCTAATAAAAGTAAAAAAAAAAAAAAAAAGCTCAACAAACAGTAATCTAGTTTTGTCTACATCCCATAGTTACTGTAACTATCAATAGAGATAATGTACATGGAGGCACCTTGAAATCTAGGTATTATAGGTCATTTTAATAAAGTGTAAATAGTAATCATAATACTTTGGGAATAACAAGTAGCAAATATACTAGAAAAGACAGGTCCTGGACATTAAGGAACCCGAGTTATTATCCCCACAATACGTATTTGTAAAATGAGGCAGTCTGACAATGTTCTTGTCCTATAGTTCCTTCTAACTCAGGAGACTAACAGAGGAAGTTACCCAATTTTCCCACTATTTGTCAAAAAGCCAGGATTTCTTCTAGATTTTTCAAGCACTTATTATTTTCTGAGGGCCTACTCTGTGGGAGGGCATTGCTCAGGACTTGGGATATATATCAGTGAGCAATAAAGGTGGAAGGAAGATGAGCAAAAAACAATATATGATAAATTACATATCATAAAGGAATAATGTGCAATGGGAAAAACCAGGAAGGTAAGGAAGCTGTGAGTAACAGTTTCCAGTTTTAGATAGAGCAGTCTAGGTAAGCAGCATGGAGAAGGTGACCACAGCAGACTCTGAGGTGCCTCTTCTGTATCCCTTCAGACAACTCCAGAAAAGGTTACTTCCTTCAGATACTTCCCATACATGACAATAGCTATCTCTCTACCCAAGGGTGTCATCTGGAAGCAGAAACCAGGCAGGATGGGCCAAATGTGCCAGGGAATAGTGTCCCTAGGAGTGACCCCAAACATTAAAGAGAGTTGGTGGATAAATATTCTTCATAACCCCCTAGGGTCTCCAGCCGAGTTGAGCCCTGGTGACAACAGTGTGCTTAGACATGCCCTTTATGTATTTCCCTTCCTCCTCTGTTTCACTACCCACTCACACCATAATTCCTGGGATGATCTTCCAGGTAAACTACCTGCACCCAAGTCCTTGTCTCTGGGTTTGCTTTAAGGAAACCAAACAGAGGGACATTTGAAAAAAGACTTGAAGGAGGTAAAGGATCTGGCCACGTAGATCGAGGAGAAACTTCTGGGCAGAGGGAACAGCAAGGGCAAAGGTCCTGAAGTAGGAGACTGCCCAGGGGATTCCAGAGTCAGAAAGGAGGCCAGGGTGAGTGGAACAGAGTGAACAAGGTGCAGAGTAGCCAGTGCGGCCAGAGAAGTAATGGAGGCCAAGGATCTTTAGGCCATCGTAAGAAAATTGTTCATTGAGAAGCCACTGGAAATTTTTAGCAATGAATGATGGCTTAACATTTTTGAAGGATCATCTTGTTCTTTTTTAAAATATTTTCTTTTTTAAAAAAATTTTAAAAAAGAATTTCTTTTTTAAAATATTCAGTTGCAATTAACATTTTATTAGCTCATAACAGTTTGTATTATTTATTAGTTTCAGGTGATAACATAGTGGTTAAACATTTACATAATTTACAAAGCGATTCCTCCAATAAGACTAGTACCCACCTGGTACCATACATTGTTATGATAATATTATTGACTATATTCCCTATGCTATACTTTACATCCTTATGACTATTTTGTAACTGCCAATTGTACTTCTTAATCCATTCACGTTTTCACCCAGTCTCCCATATGGCAACCATCATCTTGCTCTCTGCATCTATGAGTCTATTTTGGTTTTATTTGTTTCTTTTTTTCTTTATAGTCCATATATAAGTGAAATTATACGGTATTAGTTTTTCTCTGTCTGATTTATTTCACTTAGCATAA